TATTCTTCATCTTGGTATTTTCATCCTCCAACCCTGCATCAAGGTCAAGGTTTTGAGGTGGCTTTGAAAGAGAAAATGGAGACCAAAGTAGATTAAGCAAGAAGCAAGGCCTGTTGATGGCTCTCTGCCTAATTTTGGGATCAAAAAATTCTATACAATGTTACAGTTGCCTGTTGACTACAGCTTAGAATGACAAAGTGGCTGAATATTGATGTTCAGAGCAATGGGACCCTGGGGATGGAGACAGGCTAAGTCTCCCTTATTAGTACATCGTCGTCAAGGTCATCAATTGCTCTGACTAGAGAGAGTGGGCTGGAGAATAGAACACTGCCCTCTGAGTTGGGAGAATCCAACACCCACAATGATTTGTGGTGGGACTGTGGATACGTACCGGTTTCTCTTGGGACTTGAACTGTCCCACGAGCAAGTAGAACTAGAACCCTAGTTCTGTCTAATCCTTAGCTGATAGGAAAAGCAAAATGAGAGGCCAGATAGGAGAGCGTGTGTCAAGAGGGAGCTCCGTGGAAAGGCAAGGCATTGTTGTCGCTGTTGCTAGGTTTCTGGAAAAGGTGAATGCAGAAGGTTTAGGTGGCAAATGTCAGAAATAGTTCCTGGCCATGGATGATTTATTTGGCTAATATGGGTTTCGCATGTTATGTGTGTATCTGTGCCCTTTAAACAAATTTAACAATTGTTAAAAAGTTGGCTATGTCATGCAAAATTTAAATTTCTGGGAAAAAACTGAAGCTCTAGGATGCTTCACTTGATCTTTCCTTGTGGCAGTAGTAGGAAGAAGCTGAGAAGTTCTTTCTTCCAATGTCTGCACTTTGCCTGGCTTGCTGCAGCCACTGGCCTGTCCCTGCAGGCATTTGAGTGTGAGGCTCCTGGGCTAATAATAAAGATCACAGAGCTTTCAAAATGATTCCTTATCACACAACAAAAGTTGTAAAGCAGCAGAGTAGGAATTATTACTCCTATTTTACAGATGTCACAATAGAGGCCACACCAGATTTCGTGACTTTCTACTCTGTGGCTGACCTGGGACCCAAGTCGATGCCTTCTGGTTCATTGTTCTTTCTGTCCCAGTGCCCTGTTTCTGGAACAATAGCTGCAAGGATCCCATCAGGAGCCAAATCCTGACTGTTGGGTTAGGAAAATGGCTTAGAAAGGGGAGATTAGTAGTTAGAGGAAGAAAACAGCCCCAGTGCTCAAACCTTGGGAGAAGAGCCACGACTGGTGTGAGGAAGCAGACGAGGTAGACAGTGGGATCTGAGAGCTGCCTTTCCATCACCCAGTAGGGATTGGAGGGACTGCTGCAGGTGATGCAGGTGGCGTTGTACAGGAGGGATACTGTAAAGTACAGTAGGAAGCTGCCTAGGAGGACCAGCCCGTGGATGACAGTCTGTGGAGGGAAAGAAGAAGTAAATGCTGTTGAAGGTTTAGCTTAGATTCGGGGGCAGTGCAGTCACACTACCTGGCTAACTCTGTTTTAAACTTTTCTTTTTTTCTGAAATGCAAGATATGTCTAAAACAATTCAAAAAGTGAGCAGTTTAACGGGTCATTTATAAAACAAACGCCCATGTTGCTGCCACCTAGAATTTGAACATACATACCCTAGAAACCCCTGGATCTTCTGTCTCACCCTTGACTTTGGTGATAATTTCCATACTATCTTTTGTAGCTTTACCACGTATCTAGGTTTCCCTACATTCTCAACACTTTTAAATGTTGGATAAACAAGGCCGACCCGTGGCTCACTCGGGAGAGTGTGGTGCTGATAACACCAAGGCCACAGGTTTGGATGCCTATATAGGGATGGCCGGTTAGCTCACTTGGGAGAGCGGGGTGCTGACACCACCAAGTCAAGGGTTGAGATCCCCTTACTGGTCATCTTTAAAATAAATAAATAAATAAATGTTGGATAAACAGAATTATATTTTGTGTAATTTTTTGTCTTTTTTCCTTCAATATTATGTTTGTGTGATGAGTCCATTTATGACTCCTGTGGCAGTAGTTCATTTACTTTCAAAGCAGTGCAGTGTCCTGCTGTCTGATCTTATTTTGTCCTGCCTGTTTTGTGTCTCTTGTCTTCTTTTAAACATATTGACTATTTTGTATAATTTCATTTTCCCTCTTTACCAGTTTGGAAGTTATACTCTTCATTTCTATTCTTTTAGTGATTACTCAATTAATGATAACAAGCAATCTTACCTTAC